CAGATTCCTGCATTTGACTCTCCTGATCAAATGGGTACGTGCAGCTCTCGGGAGCCTCTTGCAGGTCTCTCCCTGCCTCCCTTGATAGAGTTTCTTGCCCTCACCCCTGCCTAATCCCTGGTGCCTTTTCCAGGACTCTGTGACTGCCTGAAAGATGTTCTGCTCCAGCCTGTGTGCACCTTCCTGTGGGGCGGCCGCCCCGTGCCCCCTGGCTGACACCACCAACGAGCCCTGCGTGCGTCAGTGCCAGAGCTCCTCGGTGGTGATTCAGCCCCCGGCCACAGTGGTCACCTTCCCTGGACCCATCCTCAGCTCCTTCCCTCAGCACAGCGTGGTGGGCTCAGTGGGAGCCTCCGCCACTGCCAGTGGCTATGGCAGCATTTATGGAGGCCACGGGGATGTGGAGGCTATGGTGGCTACAGGGGCTATGGGAACTATGGAGGCTATGGTTAGCTATGGAGGCTTTGGAGGCTATGGTAGTTGTGGAGGCTATGGAGGTCTTAGAGGCTTTGGTGGCTATGGAGGCTTTGGTGGCTGTGGATATGGCGGCTGGTGCCAAGGATGCTTATACCTCAGTGGCAAATGTGGGACTTGCTAACCACACACTGGGTACGGCCACAGATGTGGGAGAGCTCCAGAAGATACCCTGACACATTCCACCATGACGCTCTGTGGAGGAACATTCCTTTGGCACTGCTGGGATCCAGAGCTTGGAAGCCTCTAGTCTGCTTGAGGCCCAACTCTGCCTTCCTCCTACCCTGCTTGGTCTTCACTTCAGGACTTGTTGCACCCCTACAACACAGCCCCATGCTGCACGCCTGGTACTGTGGTTTGGCTGGTGCTGCCTTGATGTACCCGCAGCCAGGAGACATGGGCTGTGCTTTTTCAGGGCCTTGCTCTTCTCCCAACTCCCTCCTCCCCTCAAACTGCAATAAAAGTTGTACTCCATTCCAACATCTACCCTTGGATTTACTTCTTCCTTCCTCAACAGACAATACACCAAATTATATCCTTGGATCTCTAAGCCATCCTGGCCAGCTCCCACCCAAGGCCTTGTCAGGGGCAATGCAGGACCCGCTTCAGTTCCTTCAGACCTGGGCACCACGTCTATCCAGCACACCAATTGTCTGCAGTGGGTGGAAGTGCTCACATTCTTAAACAGCTTCTCTCTCTGTCTTCTCTACACCTTGGGGTCCTGCACTGTTCTGCCGAAGAAAAACTGCTGGGACCAGCAATGAGTTTGCTGCCCACGCTGGCCATTCCCTTGGGCTGCCTGCAGCCCTGTCTCTCCTGGGGCTGGCATGGCAATGGGGCCATCTCAACAGCAAAGTCCCATCTCAAAGTCACTTGGTAGGCCACCGGTCAAAGGAGGAGAGGGTGCCAAGTGCCAGCACCTGCCCATATGCCTTGCCTCCATCTCCTCCACATTCCTGCACCATGTTCACCTCCAGTTTTTACTCCATGTCCTAAC